CAAACACAAAACTCAGTGCAAAACTCTCTGTGGAGTTTTATGATTTTATTAGACTAAACCCTCAATTGTCAAAGAAAAAAATCATTCTGACATTTTAAGAATCATAAGGAAGACTTTATCCAGGACTATTGTATTAGTTGTTAATAATATCCTAATAAGGGAGAGAGATTGGACTCAACGCCAAATGCAGGAAAAGCAGCAGGTGACTTACAGTCAATGAGCAGAATGAGGAGGGTTCAGTGGCTCGAAAATTACTGTGAGGAGATCTCAGGATTATGGAGATGCTTGCCCAACTGACTTAGCAGGATTCTTATTCAAACTGGGCTGAGCAGGTTAAAGATAAGGCCCAAGGATGAGGTCTACACCCCCAAAAAAGCACGGAGAAACCTGTCTCAAGCTTATTCAAGGAGAAAATCTTTGTCACAACCTCCATTTATCAAATATTTAAGAGCTTCCAGATGTCCTATTGCTGTTACTGTTTCATAATATTACAATTGATCAAATTTATCCATAACATCACCACACATTTAATAGCTCTATATTAAATCACATGCTTCTGTCTTCCAACCAGGGCGCTTCACTCCACGATAAATATTTATCAACCTTTCCAAACCCACTCCTTGTTTTTCAGTTGTATTCATGAGGTTCATTTGTAATTTTTAAACTTTGTTATCTCTTTGGATTATTGCTTACTTTGATTTCTAATTAGGACTTTTCTAAGTTGTTAGATTTCATACCAGTATTATAAACCAGCCTGTTACGTATTCTCAATAGAAATATTTCTCATAAGCACTGTCTTATTTAAGTGCCAAAGCTTTATCCTCGTCTCAGAAGGATCTCTTGGCAAATTGTTGGACTGATTCAATATTTTAGTTTATTCAACTAAGCTATTTTATTTTATTAATGGTGTTATTCATTATAGTAGTGATTTTAATTAATTTTTACTTAATTTTTTAAAATAACTACCCTAATTAACAATAAACTGTGGAAAATTCTGAAAGAGATGGGCATACCAGACCACCTGACCTGCCTCTTGAGAAATGTGTATGCAGGTCAGGAAGCAACAGTTAGAACTGGACATGGAACAACAGACTGGTTCCAANAGACCCTGATGCTGAGAGGGATTGGGGGCAGGAGGAGAAGGGGACAACAGAGGATGAGATGGTTGGATGGCATCACTGACTCAATGGACATGGGTTTGGGTGAACTCCAGAAGGCGGTGATGGACAGGGAGGCCTAGCGTGCTGCGATTCATGGGGTCGCAGAGTCGGACATGACTGAGCGACTGAACTGAACTGAATCCTAATTAACTGACTTCTTTGATATCATATTTTATTTTTTTAAATCGATTTTGAAAACAGTGTTTAGCCCATACTTTATTCCATAACTTCTTCCCTCACCCTACCAAACTCTAATCCTGAAGGGTTTAACCAGTGAACTTAGCATCAACTTGGTTTAAGGGAAAAAGAAAAAATTGAGTAGAAGAGGAAATGTATTAGAAACAATAATTCAAGCTGGTTGTAAGATATGGATCTATTACTTATCATGGTTCCTTTTGAAGTATGCCTATAGCAGCTCGTAGATATGAAATATATTCTTACATCCTTTATTGATTCAGTACCTGAGTGTGATTTTTATATCAAACACCTTACTGAATGAATGATGAGTTCTTGTGACAGTCAAAGACTGAAGATGTTTTCTGAACCACAGGCCATGTGTTTAACACTCAAGCAAAATTTCCAGTTTCTTCTGCATCTTTCTTCCTGTAGAATGGAATCTATTCAGTATATTAAATGAATTATCTCTGGAATCTGGCTGTATAATCCTAGCATACCTAGGATCATGATGCTACTGATCACTGAACAAAATTCCCTTAGTCTTTGTCACACTGTTGCAGAAGAGCCTGTATTCATCCAGTAAAATGTAATTTTCTTGTGAGCAACGTATTCTTGCTTAATAAAACTCAACCAAATAATAATAATGAGGAAAAAAGACCATAACCAGAAATATGAAAATTAAGACAGGAAAAAAAAATCTCACTGGTAAAAGCAAATATACAGTAAATATAGTAGGTCAACAACTTATAAAGCTAGTAGGAAGACTGAAAGATGGGTAGTAAATCATTACAACATAAGTATTTAAGGGATAAACAAAGCAAGAAGATACAAATTGTGATGTGAAAAGAAAACATATGGGAATGAAAGTGCAGCTTATAAAAAATGTTTTCAGACTTGAAATAATCAACTTTAAAATAATCATATACATGATTATATATAGTTATATGTGAGCCTCATGGTAAACCACAAGCCAAAAGTCTTTAATAAATATACACAAAAAAGAGAAAGGAATCCAAACATAGCACTAAAGTTAGTCATCAAATCACAAGGTGAGAGAGGAAAAGAAGAAACAGAAATAACTGTACCAACAACCTGAACAAAATAAAATAGCAGCAATACCTACCTGTTGATAATTACTATAAATGTAGCTAGAGTAAATGCTCCAATCCAAAGACACAGAGGGGCTGAATTAAGAAAGGAAGACACACATGCACGCTGCCTGCAAGAGACTTTCCTCAGATCTAAAAACGCATCTAGACTGAAAATGAGCACATATAGAAAAGATACTACATGCCCATGGATACAAATAGAAAGCTGGCTAACAGTGCTTACAACAGACAATGTCAGTTCAGTTGCTCAGTCGTGTCCGACTCTCTGCAGCCCCTTGGACTGCAGTATGCCAGGCCTCCCCGTCCATCACCAACTCCTGGAGTCTGCTCAAATTCATGTCCATCGAATCGGTGATGCGATCCAACCATCTCATCCTCTGTTGTCCCTCCTCCTCCTGCCTTCAATCTTTCCCAGCATCAGGGGCTTTTCCAATGAGTCAGTTCTTTGCATCAGGTGGCCAAAGTATTGGAGTTTCAAAATCAGCATCTGTCCTTCCAATGAACATTCAGAACTGATTTTTTTTAGGATTGACTGGGTTTGATCTCCTTGCAGTCCAACAGACTCTCAAGAGTCTGCTACAACACCACAGTTCAAAAGCATCAATTGTTCAGCACTCAACTTTCTTTATAGT